ACTCCGTCAACACGCCGAGTACCTGTGGCGGCCACAGCAGGTGTATCAGAAACATGAGGCTGAAACACCCAGTCGCTAGGGAAAGGGAGCACTCCCATCCCACCACCCACTCATCCAGATGCACGAGCGCTACCCCGGCTGAGCACCCGGGACCTAGATGATAGCTAGACTGTCGGATGGCATCGATTGCCTCGCGGTTTCTCCCTTTGCGCGCAGACCCAAACCCACTCCTTTGATGTTGGCATCGTCATGTGCAGGCCCAACCCGGAAGTACGCCTGACTGGCGCGACTCCTCTGGATGGTTCGAAGATGTGGGCCGTTGAAGTTGGCGGCCACGAATTTGACCACGATAGGGCCACCCATCTGCAGCAACAGGAGGTAGAAGGCCCGCTCGATATGGTCCAGCTGGCGGCCCCGGCGACTGTCGCCCCTCACCGCGCCCCGCATGAGAGAAGCAAACACAGACCCATGCTCCAGTCTGCCTGAAGTTGCACAGATGACCAAGGTTAACACGTGCCGTACAAGTCGCCATCTGGGTCACCATTTCAATATCCCTGCATAGGAAACGGAACAACAATGTCCCGGCGCAAAGTACCCATCTGGGTCACCGTGTCCCTCCCGGCCTGGAGTCGAAACGAACCCTCACCCGACCGAAACGCCTCCTCCAGCTCATCCACGAGTGCCGGTCGTGTCCGCTCTGCATTGGCTGCCACTGATCTACGTGCCGTGTCGAGATCCTGGAGAAGAACTTGTGCATGTTGTAGCGCCGCCTGGAGGCGCAACAACAGTTCAGCCCGGCCGAGGGTTGACAGCAGCGATGTCGGAAGCAGTGCCGGCAGGCCCTGCTCCAACAAGAGGATGCGCTGCTGCGCGCGCTGTGCTTTGCGTAGCAGTTTGTGTTTCTTGTCCACGCCCAGTTCCCGGCATGCAGCACAAGGTCCTCCGCCCGGCTGCACGACGACAGCACACAAGGTAGAGCGGATACAGTCCGACTCGCCATAGTAGGCGGGTGGCGCAGTGTCGAGGAAACCTTCAAGTTTGTCCTGAGGTGGAAGGGGCAGGGGACAACGATGCGATTGGGTCCAACAATATCAACGAGTGTCCTGACGTGGTCAACAAAAGTGACCACGTACATGTGACCTTAACACTGGGAAGCCTACCTCTTCAAGCTCAGGAAGCCAATCCACGATGTCCCGGTCGTGTGCAGTGGCACACTCGACGTCCGAACGTTGCATGACGCCCTGTAGGTCAGATCCATAGAGCGCAGCAAGCTCTGGGCCCCGGAGCCCAGGGCATAGGACCGACTCCGCAATGGAAGCCTTCCGCGTTAAAGACCGGGTCGTGAAAGGCTGGTTCGTCACAAGCGCTGACGCGGGCACACGGAGAGGTTTCGCCATGAGGCCAGCTTTGTCTAGTGCAGCATTGAAGACTGCCTCCGGGCTCCCTTCGGCTGTGGAACTGGTTATCCATCGAGTCCGACAACAGCCGAGAGCACACGATACACGTGCTACAGGCGGAATATGTACCAATATTGATAGGTGCGAGCAGCAGCATGTTGTCAAAGGGTGATGCCGTCTGCAAGCTAAGCAAGGCACGGGCCTGTCGATGGTGAGGGCCATTGGCTCACACGTACGAGTCGGCACAAACAGCCTTAAAAGCCAAACGGTGTAGTATCTTAGGTGTCATAGTTCGCGATGATTATTGTACGCTTGCGATTGGTAAGTGCTACGCAGTCTACTTGAATTCCTTAAGGGAGGGATCAAACATGGTCTTAGTATGGTTCACATAAAAACCACATGGTCGTATGAATGGATTGAATGTGGCAACAGCAATCTAGGAATATTGTTACTGTCTGCTTTTCGCAAAGGCCGCCTTAGTTTGGTATCGGGGTGCCGTACGTTTAATTTACAAGGAGCTGCATGCAAGGAACTGCTTTGCGGGTTCTCCTCTGATAGACTCTCTACGTACCCCAACTGAAACGGGTTACATAACTTTTGTTTGTCTAATGAAACTGACTCTCGTGTTCTGAGGATGTCTGACCCTTCCGGACTTTCCGAACCGTCCTTGGACACCGGCGACGACGAGGGTGTCACGTCACATTCACGAGGAAAAGCTATGGTTTCATCCTGGTCAGAGCAGGTAGGTTGGCGCGACTGACAGCACTTGTGAGCCACTGGCTCACAATGACAAAATGGCTACCGAGGAATGGAAGTGTTTACCTTGCTTCGAGTTGAGGAAGTAACCTTAACGTATGTCCTTTCTGTACCCGTAGGTAGAATCGCTCGTGGAGCAGCAGTTCGATTGGCCGCTGGCTGTGCATCTATGCCGGCCGCGGAGCGGTGGAGGCATGGAACTGGAGCCTTCGGGGAGGGACAAGGCTTTCATAGATTCTCTCATGGAGCATGGGCTTCAGTCCGCAGCGGACATCGCTCGGAGTGTCGGAAGTAGGTTGTTGCGCAGGGTCGCGGTTGTCGTGTCCAGTTGTTCC